TGGCTCAGGTCATGATCCCAGGGTCCTGGGATCGAGCCCCGCATCAGGCTCTCTGCTCAGTGGGGAGCCTGCTTCCCCCCCTTCCTCTGCCTGCTTGTGATCTCTGTCAAATAAATAAATAAAATCTTAAAAACAAAACAAAACAAAACACTGCCATCTCCAGAAGACCGGAATAGACAGTTTTTCTGAAGACAGAGATGGCCAACAGACACCTGAAAAGATGCTCAACACCACTTATCAGGGAAATGCAAATCAAAACCACAATGAGTTATAACCTCATGGGAGTCAGAACGGCTAGTATCTAAAGAAATAAGTGTTGGCGAGAATGTGGAGAAAAGGGGACCCTGTGCACTGTTAGTGGGGAAGGAAACTGGTGCAGCCACTGTGGAAACCAGTATGGGGGTTCCTCAAAAAATTAAAAAATTCCACCTCTGGGCATTTACCCAAAGAAAAGAAAAACACTAATTCGAAAAGATACATGCACTCCTGTGTTCACTGTGGCATTATTCATAAGAGTAAGATATGGAAGCAATTCAGGTGTCCATGGATGGATGGACGGATGAAGAAGATGCGGTATATATACACAACGGAATATTCTCAGCCATAAAAAGTGAAGTCTTTCCACTTACAACATGATGGACCTAGAAGGTATTATACTGAGAGAAATAAGTCAAAGAGAAAAAGACAAATACCATATGATTTCACAGATGTGGAATCTAAAAAACAAAATGAGAAAAAACAAAAAAACAGAAACGGACAGTAAATACGGAGAACCAACTGGTAGTTGCCAGAGGAAGTGGGTGGGATGGAAGGATGAGCAACACTGTAAAGGAGATTAAGAGAGTACAAAATTCCAGGTATAAAATAGTAAGTCGCAGAGATGAAAAGTACAGCCTAGAGAATACAGTCAAGACCGTACGGTAAGAGATGCTAACGACACTTGTCCTGGTGATAACGGACAGACAGCTGAAATCACTGGACCACTACGTTGTGTACCTGGACTAACAGAACACTGCATGTCAGCTATACTTTAGTTAACAAACAAAAAACCACATACAAAAAACCAATAGCATCTCAGACTGACCCCTGGGTAACATGTGTTACCAGAGAAGCAGAGAAGCATTAACAAAACCTTTGAAAATGGAGCTAACACTGGAGTTACCACCCACAGAAGACAGAACGTGCAGTCTGAACCTAACCAGGGTCACTGCCTATTTACAACAACAACAAAAATCCTTTTTTTTTTTTTTTTTTAAGAGTAGGCTCCACACCGCGTGGAGCCCAACATGGGGCTTGAACACACAACGCTGAGATCAAGAGTCAGACACTTAGCCAACTGAGCCACCCCCAAGTGCCCCCTAATACAAAAATCTTAACATTCTCCAGAGGATTACACAACAGGATCCAAAGTGGACGCAACATAACATTTCAAATGTCCAGGATACAATCCAAAAGTACTTGACATACATCCCCACCCCTGACACCACAGAAACAAAAAAATACCAAAAAATCCCCAGGAAAATGCGACCCACTCTTAAGGGAAAAAACAAATAACCCAGATTTGGGGAATCACCAATGACTTTAAGAGCAGCTATTGTAACTATATTCCAGAAGGTAAAGGTAAAATGGTAAGAAATAATGATGTTCTGAGCAGAGAAACAGACCTACATGCAAATTTTGAATCCAAAAAACCAGAAATTAAAAATTAGCACTGGGTAGGCTCAGGAGGACATGGATATGACAGAGGAAAGAGTCAGTGGACCTGAAATTAAATTGAAGAGTTATTATACAATCTGAAGGACAGGAAGTTTAGGGAAGAAAATGAACAGAGAGCATCAGTGGCCTGTGGGATAACATCAGAAGTCTGATATCACTGAGTCCCAAAAGGAGAGGAGAAAGGGATTAGTGCAGAAAAAAACACCCGAAGAAATAATGGCCACAAACTTCTCAAATTTGGTAGAAGACACAAATGTAGAGATTTCAATGCTCAGTGAACCCCAAACACAGGTTAAACTGAAACAACAACAAAGTGGCCTATTTCCTTCAGTCTCTCTCTTGGTGACCTACTGAGGCTTCTTGTAAATGTTATCATTCCTAAGCCATTAATTCATGTTGCGTTCATTGAGCCAATGCATCCTTTCATTTCATTGAAAACACCACTGATTATAAGAAGCACCGTTATTTCGTGTAGCATCTAAAAATGCTGCCAATTAATTTTAAGATTTCCTTATAAAGGACACATCCTGATTGCACAGCTGTGAAAATATAAAAAGGGCATCTTAGAATAAATACAGAACTTTGTGTTGAGCCCTGCCTGAGCGCTGGACACTGTGGTGAGGAGAACAGACACAAGCCCACTCCTGACGTTACTCCTCGCTCTTCTTGGTTTAGCAGGAAAGGACAAAATGTGTGTTCAGAAAAGTCAATAATCTATGATGTTAAAACTCCTGTGCAGAGCCACACTCCTCCCTCTCCCTGCTTTACAGCCCTTTTCTCCGAGTAAGAGAGAAGCACAATCCAACAATAACCATTTCTACCCCAATCATTCTCTTCATCTTTATCAGACTTTTTTTCTGGAAAGGTTGAGATGCTAGGTGAGCTGTTCTTTCCCTTTAAATTTTAGCCACTCCATCCCACCCCCGACAAAAATGTCTTAAAAAATTCTACCCATTGTTTGCTAATTTCCTTACATTCATGAAGATGACTTTTGTCTTAACCTGGGACAGTTTTATGTATCTTTAGAGTCCACTTCATTTTCAAATTATTGACAGAGTACTAAGCGCAGTAGAAATTAAGTTTAAATAAATATTTAAAAAGGAAGTTTCAGGTTTTTAAAATTGCAGCGGCCGTTAACTGACAACCAAGTATGTTGTTCTCTTCATAGTACTGGACCCCTTGCTCCCACTTTTGAGATGAAACCTAAGCTGTAAGAGCCTCTGTGTGCGTCTCTAACGAGATCCGACTCCTAGCTAGTAAGCCTTTGCTGAAAACACATGCATACCCCATTCCTGCTACTAGATTTGAAACTCTAGATTCCTTACTCTTTCCTTTTTCCAGATGTATAATTTTTTAGCCCCTGTGTTTCAAATTCATTTTGCTTATGCTACTATTCTGATTCATAAGGAACAACCTCTGTGACGGCAGGCCCCTGACATCGCAGCAGCGGCCCACCAGCTGGCACATCTAGCACTGCCCTGATGAAACGCCTTTCTGAACGCCCCCTTCTCAACTCCAAGCCACTAGTCTGCTCTTTACATCCAGAGAGACAGAGGATGAAAAAACCAAACCAAACCAAAAATCCACACCACAACACTGGTTTCCTAATGAAACAGACTTCACGTGGTCAAATCTACACTCGAACGTGACCAGAGAGCCGTTTTCCATAGGGCCTTTAGCTCCTCTTCTGGCAGCCCTGCTCCAGAGGACAAGGTCAGCTTTACAGAGTTTGCAGGTCTGCTAATGGACAGGATGCCGTTCGGCTGACAAAGGTTGGGACAGTCTGGCTTAAATGTCCCCGTCCAGCCAACTGGGCTAAGTAATGCAGGCAGTAGAGGCCTCTTCTCTGGAACACCACGGCGGCTTCCTGGGAGCCTAGCTATAGTCGAACACCTAAATGCTCATGCCGTAAGCAAACTCTGAGGGATGACCTACAATTCTAAACCCTTCCATGTGGATGCCCCCAAAAGCCCTCTGCATTCGCTGTCCTGGAAAGAGAGCAGTAGCAGCTCGATCCCTGGGGGAGATCCTATCAGATAAGCGTGGAGCCTTTGTGCGGCTCAGTCTGCAAAACACAACATAGAAGTAAACTGCAAACCGATTTCATTTGCTGTGCCACATGTGGGACCAACTTACCAAGCCTGGTTTGTTTTTTGCTTTTTAAGAGAAAAACTGGACATACAACGAGGAGTTCAATTCTTGAGCTCAGAAATTATCAGCCATTTTAGGAAGCCTTGAGAACCAATTTTCTTTCAACAGAGCGCACTCACATTATCTTCCTGCTCTAAAGGAAGGCGTAGCAGAGGGGTGAAGGTCAGGAGTTGAAAATATTATTTGACACAATAATTATTTTTGCAAGCTGCTGCACTGGCGCGGCAGAGGTCTGAGACTTGGCACACGGGAGTGCCCGCCTTGCGATCTGCTCCCCACACCGAGCAGCCCGCCACCTGCAGCCCGGGGCCGGGCCCAGGGGAGGGGGCGCCGGCAGACCCTGGCCTCCAGCCATACTACCTCTCTTCAGGGCACTGGATCAGACATGGCAGATAACCGGCCAAAAAAAAAAAAAGACAAGGAAAAGAAAAGACAAGGGAGAGAAGGGACGGGAGGGAAAAAGACCTAAAATTTGGACTCAGAGGGTCTTTTCAAATACTTTAATCCTTTCGTACTGGTGGTTCCTGGAGTGTCCGTTACTGGCACTGGACCCTGTAGCAGGAAAATCCGACTCCCCAAGCCAAAGCGTTAAAGAGAAGACTGCTAATCAGCTAAATAGAAACTGGAATCTGTTCCCATCAAGTCCCTTTTTTCCCCCCATCACCAGAGGGACACCATAGTGTTCTGAAATACACTCTTGACATCATTTGGCAGGCAACCCTATTCTGCTGAACATGATTCAGCCCTTAGGTTATTGTTTTTAATATTAGAAAGTGAGCTTTTAAATGCCAGACAAATTTTGCAGCAGGGGGACAAAAGATATTCCAAGTGGTCCCACTGGACCTTCTACCAACTGTGTCCACCAAATGGCTTAAAAGACCACCTTCCCATGGCGTTTCAGAAACGAGGCAGAGAGCTAGCTCTGTCCAACTATTACCTAATGCAAGACTTTGTTCTCCAAGTTCACGGAGATGGTATTTAAGGATCAGGCTGAACTGAGGCGGCAAGGCTGTGGGGTGAGAACTCAGCCGTGCAAGCAGCAGAGGAAATGAGCGAGCACGGCGGAGGCGAGGGGCAAAGACCCGGCAGAAAGCCACCGTGGCTGCAAAACATGGCTCTTCACTCACACCTACCTCCTGTCCATGTTGCCACTGACCATGAGGTTGGGAGGGCTGTCTCTGAGGTTGACGCAAGTGAAATCACCAAGAGCGTTGCCCAGCTTTGAGAGGCACCGTTCTGCTTCCAGGCTGTACACCAGGATCTGGGAAGGAAGGAAGATATGTGGGTGTGCGGCTGCTTACAGCAGGCCCCCATCCAACACTTCTTATCCCAGACCATCACCCAGCTCCCGTAACGGAGATGTTCTGCTGCATAATTTCCTGACCTTTTCCAGCACAGGGATATGGCTCTTAGAATGACAAAAGTAAATGCAAAAGAAAATAAAAGAACAGCCAAAGAATTCCTCAGGCCAAGGTACAAAAATCATAGGACACAAAGGAAAACGCCAAATGGGGACGTTAGGTATCCCAATTTCCTAACCCAGAAAGAGCAGCATGGAAACTAAGAGTCAGTGATGGCGTCAGATTGGGAAGCTGCCTTCTGATTTTCTGATGTCCACAGATGTGCCAGCCTGTGTTCTCTCATTTTTCCCTTCTCTGTATTGCTATCCCAGAAGGTGAAAGAAAGAATGGTACTATTTCCAGGAGGATGGATAGTTAATCACTACATGACAGATGATTTCTTTAGACTAAACTACAAACCAAAACACAAAGTCTTATTTCCAAATGTTAAAACAAGTTTCTTTTTTTTTTTTTTTAAAGATTTTATTTATTTGTCAGAGAGAGAGAGAGAGCGAGAGTGAGCACAGGCAGATAGAGTGGCAGGCAGAGGCAGAGGGAGAAGCAGGCTCCCTGCTGAGCAAGGAGCCCGATGTGGGACTCGATCCCAGGACTCTGGGATCATGACCTGAGCCGAAGGCAGCCGCTTAACCAACTGAGCCACCCAGGCGCCCCTAAAACAAGTTTCTTAAGTGAGGTATAACTGACATTCCCAAACATCTCTCTCTTCAGCCACTCTCCCCTTGCTAATTTTAGGAGGTTCTGTTCTATAAGGTGTGGAAGCAAATAAAGTATCCTTTATCTCTAGACTACGTATTCATTACGATCGAACAGTTCTGTGCTTTCTCTCCAGCAAAAAGAAAAAAAAAAAAGGGTGGTTCATGAGGAATCTTTTTAAAGATTATTTAAGTCTTTTACTAAAAAAAAAAAAAAATTCAATTAATTAACATTAAATGCCTGCTATGGGGGTGCATGGGTGGCTCAGTTGGTTGAGTGTCTGCCTTCAGCTCAGGTCATGATCTCAGGGTCCAGTGAGCAAGCCCAATATCAGGCCCTATGCTCAGCAGGGAGTCTGCTTCTCCCTCTCCCCTGCCTCTGTGATCACTCTCACTTCTCTCAAATAAATGAATAAAAATAACATAAAATAATAAAAATAACATAAAAAAATAACTAGATGCTTGCTATGGATTAGTCATTGTTGTAAATACTTAAGATACTGCCCATGTGTGCCCCCAAATTCACAGTTCAAAAGCCTCCTCATCCTCATTCTCTCTCTCTCTGACACACACACACATACACTTCTGGGCACGTATTCTATTCTGTTGATCATGCGGTTAAAATGACTGAACTCAAAACTATTAATGTTAATATTTTGTAGAGATTCTCCTCCTTTTGCACACACACGGAAATGACATGCTCTCTTTTTCTTCTCAACTTTACATTTATCAATTTATCAGGATATTCTTCTTTCAGTATTGAGAGGCTGATGATCTCGACCTTGAAAACCATGATCTCCTTATCAACACACATTTCTAACAAGTGAATCTTTGGAAATGCTTCACAGTTTAAACAAGATTATCACCTTAATTAATATTGCCAGCAGCTCCTGAAAGGAAGAGAGACTATTTCAAATTTGAAAATGCCTTCCTAATCTATTAAGACTATAGAGAACAAGCTAAATTTTGTTTTCATGCAGTGGAAAATAACTTTGAAAAAACTCCAAGAATTCTATACAGTTCTAGCAATTCTGAAAATAACTCAACAATTCTAAAATATAAAAAAAAAAGTTATTCTTCCAAGTAAGAACATAGAAATAATCAAATCTTCTATCTATAGCGAATAACCTAAAAGCTGCATAAAATCAGTTCTAGGAGGGAGAAAAAAATTAACAGCAACCTCATGGTCTCTCACATAGGCTAATTTTCCTTGTAAATAGAGCTCTTGGTAGAGTTCTTGGACTCAAAAATTTCTTTTTGTTTTCAACTTCCATAGTAGGAAGGTAGGCCTCTGATGTGCAAACGTCTTGGGTAATTGTAAGAATTAAAATCTGGTATTGAGTCCATCTTTACTTTTTCTCATTCCTTTTTGGCAAGTGGAGGGGTCCTCTCTAAGTGACACAGGGAAATCTGATCCCTCTCCAGAAAGACTGCAAATTCATCATAAAGGCATCAAAGTTCGTAGTCAAGAGTCAAGTATTTTCTGAAATGTTTAATAATTCAATGAATCAGAATATCCGAAGAGTACCTTTACCATTAGGGTTAGTTAAAGACCACAGAGATTAGAAAACACATTACCCATCTCCGAGGCGGTTCTTTCCATGTTAAAAGTCCCTTAACGACCTTTACCATTTCTCCCTCCCTCCCTCCCGCACTCTCTCTCTTTTAATAAGGTTGAGCAAATGGGACTTCATTTTATCTGATTGCCATAGACGAGTGAGATTAATTATTCATGCTCCCACTCCCCCTCTTGTTAAGACCATGCATTAGACTAATTTTTCTCTTTATTGCCCTAGTTGGGTGAGTCTCAACCCAGGGCCACTTGACTCCCTCTCAGAGGTATATGGATATGCTGGAAAGAAGGAAAATACTACCCAGAGCTAAAATCTCAGACAAAATTCTCTGCACTAATATGACCGCCAAATCAATAGATATTGCTGGGATTTTTCCTTTTAAGTACCAAATGTATGTTACAAAAGAGCCTACATAAGTGATTACAGAGCAAAGTTTTATTTTAAGTATGATCTCAAGTGACGAAATTAAGGCCGGCGCCTCTTCTGCACAGAGAACTACAGGAGATGCCTGTGCAGAGGACACCAGGAGGTGTGTCTTGCTCTCTGGCTTCCAGGTAGCTAGCTACTGAAAGGGCACCTGGTGGAAACAAGCATTGCTTAAAAAGAACTTCAGGGGGCACCTGGGTGGCTCAGTGGGTTAATCCTCTGCCTTCGGCTCAGGTCATGATCTCAGGGTCCTGGGATCGAGCCCCTGCATCGGGCTCTCTGCTCAGCAGGGAGCCTGCTTCCCCCCCCCTCTCTGCCCGCCTCTCTACCTACTTGTGATCTCTGTCTGTCAAGTAAATAAATAAAATCTTTAAAAATAAATAAATAAATAAAATAAAAAGAACTTCAGCAGAAAGTTCCTCCCCCACCCCCCGCCCCCAGAAACCTTAACGTATTTTCATAAATCCTAGTTTGAGGATCCAAACTTTCCATTTTGGCAGCTGTTCAGATTTCTTTGAAATCGTTTTCTTAAACAATCTATTTTTTTCTGATTTCAAGTGTAATATATATTGTAACACATTCTAACAGAATTACAAGAAGTTGAAAACCTTTTATAGATCCGGCTCAGAAATAACCACTTCAGCAGTTCGGTGTATAGGGTGCGGGACTTCCTTCTGACACAGGTCTGCCTTGTCTGTCTCTGTGTGTATATAAAACTGTTTTCCTTTGAATGGAATTATGTTGTTTTACAACTTGTTTCTCCTAAACAACGTGAGAGTCCTTTCCTCATGAGTCTCTATAGATAGACCTTGTTCTTCTTAATGGCTGCACAGAATTTCTCTACGGATATGTAATTTCATACTGATGGCTACTTGGGTTGTTTCTCTTTTTTAGACCAATAATGTACTTCGTTCAACAGTTAAGTCAACCTATATTTATTAATCATCTTTACAGTAGGTACTGGGATGGCCCAGGACGGCGGAGGACGTGCAGAAGCCTCAGCCTGCTGCCGGCTGTAAAGGTTGATCCTTCCACCAGACACTGTGCGGCCCCCAGCCGTCCCGCTCCCCCCTACCTGGGACTTGCCTCTCTGAGGAAACCCACCTCACAGCCAGGTCCTTGCATCTGGTGGTGTGACTTGTGTTGGCAAGGGGAGGGGGCAGGGTACAATCAGGAAGGAGGTGGCAGCCCCAGGGCCAATTCTCAGGGGTGCCTGGTGCAGGTGGGCCCTGTACTTTCCAGGAGTAACCTGGAATATTTGGTGTGCCCAGGACTGGCTATCCAACCAAAGCTTGAAGGAAAGAGCTGAGAAATGGCTACTGTCCCTGTAGTGGGATAAGGTCCTTCACTCACCCAGTGGGATCTAAGTGTCACTGCAAATGTTTCCTAAATCTGGGACTCCTGGTACCTTCATAATGAAACAGGAGCCAGCCGCACACAGAAATCACTACAAAGAGATTATAGGGCCTCGCAGTCCCAGACTTTTGGTCATGCACTGCTGGAAGAAGAAAGGAACTCCATTTCCGTTTTGATTTTAAACTTACCCAAATAGTAAGTCCTCCTCATAGTCCTCAATCTGCCGAAGGCATGACACCAAGCACCTGACCAATTGGCTTGCCTCCTCAGGGTCCAGCACTGCCTTTCCAAAGGAGTGAGGAGAGGTCAGAAGGCTTCTTTACAAGATGGTGGCATTTAAAAAAGCACAGTGGGGGACACCTGGGTGGTTAAGCTGGTTAAGCATCTGCCTTTGGCTCAGGTCATGATCCTGGGGTCCTGGGATTGAGTCCTGCATTGGGCTCCTTGCTCAACCAGGAGCCTGCTTCTCCCTCTGCCAGCCACTCCCTCTGCTTGTGCTCTGACAAATAAATAAAATCTTAAAAATACGGGGCACCTGGGTGGCTCAGTGGATTAAGCCTCTGCCTTTGGCTCAGGTCATGATGTCATGGGATCAAGCCCTGCATCGGGCTTTCTGCTCAGCAGGGAGCCTGCTCCCCCCACCCCCCACCACCTGCCTCTCTGCCTACTTGTGATCTCTGTCAAATAAATAAATAAAATCTTTTTTTAAAATCTTAAAAATAAATTTAAAAAATAAAATTTAAAAATAAAAAAGCATAAAGATCACTTGTCTGCTGCCGTCTTAAAAAATGGGAAGTGACAAAGAGAGCTAAAGGTTGGGAGATGATGGGCTGAGGGTCAAAGATAAAAGGC